GATTTTTTTTTTTTTTTTTAAACAAAAAAACACTCGGAAGTTGAAAAGAAAAGTATGGTATGTTTATTTTAAGCGACAATACAGTTCAGTAGTTTGAATAATTTGAAAGTTCCACACATATTAGTTAATCAGCATTTTTTTTTCTTTTTTACTGCTTACTTTACAATTTTTGAAGGAATTCGCTTACACGGGTCAGAGAAGAAATGAACATCTCCCAGGTTGTGTAGCTTAATGTGTCTTCTAATTGACTGTACAATTTCAAGAATATTGATAAAGATTGGTGGTCACTTTGATTTTGCGAAACAAACTAAAACGTGTAAAATTTAGTTACCTGAAAAAAAAAGAATCATATTTCTCATTTTCGTGTGTTCAAAGCAAAACACTCTCGCTGTAAAAAAAAAAAAAAAAAAAATCAGTGAATAAAAGAAAAAGCACATACAAATTTTTAGAAAGATTATTTTATTTTCTTTCCTCTTCCCAGCCATATAAATATTTTTTAAGATTAGACCAGAAATACACTAGAATTTTCGAGTTGAACAGACTAAGTTGCAAATTTATCTCAAAGGAAATCAGATATCAACTGGAAATGCTGTCATTACACAAAAAAATGAATGGCTTAGAAAGCAAAAATACTAATTTAAAAATTGAAAACCGCGGTATCAAGGTGGGGACGTAACCGATACCGAAACATAAATTGCCAAACTGATCAAAGTCTGTCATTGTGGAAGTCTGTTAAAAACTGATGCGTAAGGGGTCAATATTTGATTTATGATTGAATATTGAAAACCGCGAATCGGAGTGGGTAATAAAGTAGAGATTGTTCCTTTTTTTAGGATTTAAAAAGGTAATTTAGTCATAGAATGAATGACTTAAACTTTAGTTTATCAAAGTTTTGAATAAATTGTCAACTATAAATAACTTGAAAGTTTAAAAACAATTAAGAATACGGCAATTTTTTTCTGTTATTGGGAATTTGCAAATAAATTTCTTCTAAACAAGGAAAATCAATGAGTTATTTTTTCCTTTGATTTCTAGCGAATAATACACCTACAATAGTGAAAATAATTTAGCTTTTAATTTTATTTTTAGGATGTGTAGATTTCCAAATCTGCAAGTATCACCTGTGTGTGTGTGTGTGTGTGTGTTTTTTAATATATATTAGAAATACACATTTTGAAACTGAAGTTAAAAATTATTTCAATTATTTTTTTTGTTTAAAGAATTTTTTGCAGAACACCTACCGAAACTTGTGACTAAAAAGAATTTTTACTTCGTGTTTTAAAAAAAAATGACTTGCAGTTTTGAAAATATAAACATTTTAAGAACTGAGATTTAAAACTTACTTTATTTTTTAAAATCTAATTTTACGTGTATTCGCTACATAGAAGCATAATTTTATTTATAGAAAACAATTTTTTACAGTTAGACTCGCATATCTGGAAACGCATTTTAAAAGTGAAATTAAGAACTATTTTAATTAATATCTAATTTAGGTGCATTCCTAAAAAAAAAAAAAAACAAATTTATTCATTAAAAAAAATCTTCATTCATTTTTCTTGTTTATACATTATACAACAACTTTATTTCGTGATTGGCGTAACACTGGCTTCTTATTAGAAAAACAATTACAAATTTCATAAAATTCAACATGTAAGAAGACGTAACTGGCAACTATTTTTTTTTTGTATTTTTAATAGCTTTTGTTAACTTTATCACAAAAGTTTTTTTTCTTTTCTTTTTTCTTTTTTTTTTAACTGAAACAAATTTCAGACATTTCTTTTTTTTTCTTCCTTTCTTTTGTAAGCAAATAGATTTCAGTCACATTTATTTTTCCTAAAACTAGTCAAATAAATGTTTTCAACATATTTTTGTTCAATATCCTTCTCTTACAATGGTATGTTGATAAAATTTAATTTTATTAACAACTGAAAGTCTTTCTTTTTCAATAGTGTTTCTTTGGATATGGTCACTCAATATAGTGAAACCGAACGATTTCGGATTTTGTAAAAGAAAAGAAAAAAAAAGCGATTCTGTACGAAGATGAAACCGAAAAAAGTCGGTTTTTCGATTAAAAAACTGCACATCTTTTATTAGATATACCTTTTAATATAATTGTGCACTTTAATATAACATTTATGAAAATGTAATTTAATTCTCTAAATAATATCAGGAATAATAGATCTGAACATGGACATTTTATGACTGTTTCTGCAGATATAATAAGAAGTTATATTAGTGACTATTTTTTTATGTTATGGTATTACTAATGGTTATTATTAACAAATCTTAGATAATCATTTTAAATCTGTCAAACAAAGCAAACCTCTTAAAAAAAAAAAAAAAAAAAAAAAAAACTTATACATAACAATTGAGTAGATTATTTGAAAGAATCCTAATAATTTTAAAGATGCTATATTTGGTTCTTGGAACTTTTAGTTTGAATTAACACTAGGTTCATGTTTTAATCTGGATTTTGAAATATCTAATCATTACTTGCATAACAAAAAATGTAATTAGAATTTAATTAATGCTGAACTAATGATTTAAACACTTAATTTATTTAAAGTTCATTACTTTAACAAAAAGTGATTACATAATTTTTTTGCTTATTTAAGCTATATTTCTCAAATTTTGTGATAATAAAAAGGACAACTTAATTTTTTTTTATATAAGTGCTTTTTATAATGACTCTTTATAAAATAGAAATGGTATGAATTTATAGATGTTGATGCCTTTTCTTAAACAGATTGCATGAAATAGAAAGATGAGATAAAACAATAACATTGAAAAATTGGAAAATCAACTATTTTACAAATAAACAACTTAAAACATTCAGAAAAAACTGCCACATTTTCAAAGGGTTCATAAATTTTATTGGTAGACTTCAGTTATTCTTTTTTTCTTTAAATATAAAAAGCACTATACTTACCCGGAAGTCTTTGACCTAGTAACATTTTAAAGCAGATAAATGATTTAGATGCAGTTAAAAGATGATTTTACAAGTAGCAATATTAATAGATACTGATAGAAAGGGAAAGGCTGTGGTCAGCAAAGCAAGCAGATATGACATTTTCAGGCAAATATTTTTATTATCTACATTGATTTTAACTTAAGTTTGTACCTTTTAAAAAATAACTTTTTTTTTTTTTTTTTAGAAATTTACTTTTGGAATCCTTAAATATTTGCTTTAATAACTGAATTGTGTATCTTTTCAAATCTGATTGGATGGAATCTTTTCAGCTATAAGATAAATTTAATAATTTCAGGGCAATGTACAGTTTTACAGGAATTTTTTTTTCCATTTTTTTTTTTTTTTTTTTTTTTTTTTCTTGTAATTAAACTTGCCACTTGGGATAGAATTACTGTTCCTATCAATAAAATATCTAGCTTAAAAGCTCTTTAGTAAGTAAAAAGGAAAATTAAAAGAAAAAGTAACCTTTACAAATGTTTACTTTTTTATTGTTATGCCTTTTTTTACTGTTCCATTTTCAAGGTTTAATGTCTTAATTTCTCATAAATATTAACTTTATTATAAAAAATATTTTAATGAATAAAAGTTTTATATTTAGGTTAAAAAAAAGTTACACTGAAAAATAAAATTCTGTTGAAAGATATCAATGTTTGGTAAAAATATTTTTCATTTTTATTGTAACCACATTTTTATCAATTTAACATGCTTAGATAAAAATGATCAATATTTACAATATACATTCAAATTTGATAAAAAAATTATGCAACAAATTATGCAGCATTTATTTCGATTAACCATGTTACTTAAAATAATTACTTTGCTAATTATGTAAATGTAAAAACAGTGTCAGTTGCCAATACTATAAGTGAAAGATGGCTATAAAAAGGCACTGTTGATTATTTACAGCTAATGTTTTCTGCTGGCATGAAGTGGAAAGATTATATTGAATCAATTGCTAGGTCTGCTGCTAGGAAAGTTTTTTTTTTTTTTTGTTTGTTTTTTTTTTTTTTTTTCACTGTTGCACTAGACAATTTTTCTTGCCAGAATCTCTTGCACATTTATAAGTCTACCATTCATCCATGGATTTTATATTTCTGTCATATCTGATCTGGTGCTTCTGCTATGTATTTAGAGATTCTTAATAAAATACAAATCTGCAATGTTATTGAACCTGCAATTTTGGCTTCTGTCACTTTCCACACTGCCATAGTGTAGCCTCCCTGTACCTCTTCTATAAATATTTTTATAGTAATTGTTCTGATGAACTTTCCTCTATGGTATCTAGACTTTATGAATTTAAGTGCAATACTAGATTGGCAGCATGGTCTATTCATTTTACAGTTGAAATGCCTAGATGTTACCATAGATTCTATGCTAATAGTTTTTTTTTTCTTGTACTCCTCACTTGTGGAACTCTCTTCTGGATTCTTCCTTTCCAGTCAACTTTGATCTTCAAAAATTTATATACAATGTCAATTATCATATCTTGTTCTTTTATTTTTCTTTCATTTTAATAATATTTTTATTTTCTCATTTTCTTGCTTTGACTAACTCCTTGCATCTTAGTGGTGAAATAATTAAAATTGAGAGAAATAATTAAAAAATAAAATTGAATATTGTGTTAATCATGTGGCAATAATTGTAAGTAAAATGATCGTTTTAAGTTCTCTGGATATTGATGCCAAAAAATTCTTCTGGTTTTGAATGGGACTTTTTTTCTCCTGTCCATAAAGAAAATCTATTGTGAACAAAATCTAACTTTTTGACATTGATTTATAATGGTTAATAAATGAATGAATCTTAAGATATTGATTTTGTTTATGTATTTATATAAGAGTGTAATTGTTATATTATATAATCTTTTTGCATTGTTTATTTGCTTTAATAATTGTTCAATATCCTGGCAGTCATGGATTTTTAATGACATTTAAATTTTTACTTAAATGTCAACAGTAATATCTTGACTTTGTTGGGGTTTTTTTTGTTTTTTTTTATCCCCCCATTTTTTTTATTTTTTTATTTTATACAG